TTTAGTTCCCTGCCCATGCCTAGGCCCTTCTGTTGGAAGACCAAAGGTATGTGTGGCACACAACCTCTCTTGCATCTCCTCACGCTAGCCGGCATCCGTAGAGGAGGTGCCCTCTTGCCAGGTCCAGCTGCCAATCAAGTTTGCTTCTGTAAGTGGAAGCGAGGGGGAAAGGCACCCTCCAGCCGTTCGTCTTGGGCAGCGAAATATCCAGCGTTGCTCTGCACACACTTTGTGAATGTTGCGACCTGCTAATTTTTTTTTGCTTTTGTAAGACGATGTGACAAAGCCAGTCCTACAGGAGCGTGGTGCCATAGCTTTCAGAGGATGGAACTTTACATTTCTTTGGAGAAATTCCTTCTGCTCTCCTGCCTATTTATTTTATTTATTTAACTTATATGCCGCCCAGTCTACCCAAAGGACTCTGGTGGGAGATGTCTGAGATTTTTTCATTCGTAACACTGCTTTAGTTTTTGTCTTCTGTCCCTCTTGTAAAAGATGGCCGGAGTCAAGATTCAAGCCGTGCGACCTGTATGGGGTCGACTTTTTTTTGGCCAGAGTTCTTTTACATTGACTTATACGCAGTTGGCGTAAATTCCAGCAACTGATTGCTCCCAGTTCATGCTTTGCGGCTTGATCCCTTCGTCACACACCGGCCACGTGACTGATTGCTTTCATGCTTTGCGGCTTGATCCCTTCGTCACACACCGGCCACGTGAGTCGGTGTAATGGCAGTTCACTAGCAGCAAACTTGTCATGGCAGTTAATACAGTTCAGGGCTAGACTACTTGCTTTGACCTGGGAGATGTCTGAGATCTTTTCATTCGTAAAACCGCTTTAGTTTTTGTCTTCTGCCCCTCTTGTAAAAGATGGCCTGAGTCAAGAGTCAAGCGGTGCGACCTGTATGGGGTCGACTTTTTTTTGGCCAGAGTTCTTTTACATTGACTTATACGCAGTTGGCGTAAATTCCAGCAACTGATTGCTCCCAGTTCATGCTTTGCGGCTTGATCCCTTCGTCACACACCGGCCACGTGAGTCGGTGTAATGGCAGTTCACTAGCAGCAAACTTGTCATGGCAGTTAATACAGTTCAGGGCTAGACTACTTGCTTTGACCGGGTGTTGGTGTGTCCTTTTAATACAATCAAGTAGCAAAGAATGGGAAAAAACCCCTTTGTGAGTCCTTGGAGAACGTTCTCATTCACCCGACAGACAATATTGGGGGCCAAGTTCTTTTACATTGACTTATACAGTACGCAGTTGGCATAAATTCCAGCAGCTGATTGCTCCCAGTTCATGCTTTGCGGCTTGATCCCTTCGTCACACACCGGCCACGTGAGTCGGTGTAATGGCAGTTCACTAGCAGCAAACTTGTCATGGCAGTTAATACAGTTCAGGGCTAGACTACTTGCTTTGACTGGGTGTTGGTGTGTCCCTTTAATACAATCAAGTAGCAAAGAACGGGGAAAAAAAACCTTTGTGAGTCCCTGGAGAATGTTCTCATTCACCCGACAGACAATATTGGGGCAGCTGGACAAAGAGAGTAATCTATAATGCTCAGATTAGATTCCGCTGCAAAATTCGAACCCATGCTTTATTTCTTGCTCTGCTGCTTGCTTGAGTTTAGTTGCGCTCAAGACTGTGCCGACTGGAAAAGAAGGGCCACTAAAGTCCACGGAGCTTTGCCGCTGAGCCAGCGTCCCTAGGACTGCCCGGCCAGTGTGTGTGACTGCATGTTGCAGAGTTCCCTTAGCTCTCTTTTTTGTTACACTTCGCCCTTTGGAACGATGTGGGGATGTTTGCTAGGGCGTGACAAGGGGGCCTACCACAAAGTGTTGCAGCGTCCAACATCATTGCTCAGGATTCTAACGGCTCCACCCCATTGTTGGGCCTGCCCCCAATCATCCATTTTTGGCCTCTTCTGCATTCTGAGAAAAAGCTCATCTGCAAGTCTCAGGAACCCCCCTAACACTATGGAGACCCTTGACCAGGGAGAGTGCTGTCCTAGCTGGGTTAGCAGTGGATATCTATCATCTGATGATCAGAAGGAGAGGCAGGAAGTGCTGGGCTTTCACCATGAGTCTTGAGCAGCCCCCAGTCGCAGGATGAAGGACATGGATTGACTCCTGGAGGCTAACTCGGCCGCTCTGTGTCTTCTCTTTCAGAGTCCTCTTGTTCCCCCCTTTGTCCAGCCGCCTCCGGTACCTGATCCACCGAACGGTCGATGATGTTGAGCTTTTGAGCAGTTTCTCTGTTGGAGAAGGATGGCGGCGGAGGACCGTGGTCTGTCACTCGGCCATAAGGTTGGTCTCCCATTGCAGCTGTTCCCCTTCCTTCCCAGAAAGCTGCTCGTCCTTGGTATTTGTTGCGTCCGACGAGTAGCTTACTTTTGGAAGTGGTATGGCCGTAAGTTAAGATTCCTCTGTAGACCTGTGTTTCAAGTCATGGAACTCACCCTCCAGCAAGTATGATCTGCATCGACTTCTTAACTTGCAACCCTTGTCCTCTAAAAGTTATATCATTAATGGCCGTAAGTTAAGATTCCTCCGTAGACCTGTGTTTCAAGCTGAGTCATGGAACTCACCCTCCAGCAAGCATGATCTGCATCGACTTCTTAACTTACAACCCTTGTCCTCTAAAAGTTATATCATTTGTGTAACTCTATAACAGGATTTTAGCCAGTGTGTGACAAAGCTGTATTGTTTTTAGGCAAAAGGGGATTTGAGGGAAACCTCCCCTTCTTTTGACCATTATGGTATTGACTTGCACCACATTTTGGACTGCTTCCCAAATTTCTCTGACATAGTAACCTCTGCTGTTTTCATAACGGGGTAATTTCCGCCTTGCCTCTTCTGGAAAAAAGAAGATATGACATCCTCTTGTAGGGGTTGTGCTCTGACAAAATGACACACGTGACCTGGCTTTGCCTCGAAGAATTATTGGCACGGGGCATTCAAACATAGCCCAAAGTTGTTTGTAATAAAAAGCAGTGATTTGCAGATTTTAGGTGGCTTTGCACCAATATTGCGTGATTTACCAAAATTTTACTTGAGGTTGGCGTTCTTCATGGACTTGGGAGTAAAGCTGCTTTTGAACTACAGTATGTGGGATATAATTTGGAATAAATGTATCTTAGGCTTGGAAAGATGGTGGTGGGGGTTGTAAGACTGATACTCATCCTGGCTGTTAGATGTTGGGAATTCTAGCCCCTCTCGCCCACCCCAGTCCTTCCAAGCTCTGATTAGGATTGCACTCAATTTTGTTTTAAAGTAACAAGCGTTTTCATGAAATTCACTCATTGATCCACATTTTCCTTGGCTTCTTTTTCTTTGTTCTTCTTGGGGTTCAGGTTGCCTGATGAACCAGAGGATCAGGAGGGTTCCTGCCGTGGCACCCCTCTCTCCAGCCACCCACCTTCTTCGAGAAACAGAGGAGGCCATTTTAGAGGAGGCGCACGGAACGTAGACGCCCGAGCTGATGGCTCTCGAGGCCAGAGAGGAAACGGTCGTGGCAGAAAGCAGTCACGGAGGAAGCTGGACCAAGCTTTGTACGTCCCCAGGGCGATGCGGAAAAAGCCCGAGGGCTTGGGAACGGAAGCTCCTCCCGAGGAATCGGAAAGTCAATTACTTGACTTTGAAGTGTTTGAAGATGGTCAGTGTATGTCCAACACCGTCCACGGTAGTGACCGAACCGCAGAAGCCAGCAGCTTACCTGATCCCGACTCGGTGTCTGGAAGCCCTAGAGAGAATGATGCAAAGACCTTGGAGTCGGAAAGTAAAAATGGCGTGGGAGTTGCAGAAGTTCCCGAGTTGCTGAGCCCTTGCCCTCTGAAGAGTGCGGTTGATCCATTAGCTCAAGATGGCCGGTGTAACGTTAACCAGGCCACCTCGATGCTGCAGAGCGGCTTCAACCTGACAACAACAGAAAGCCAGAATAAAGAGGGCACAGAGGCTTTCATTTCCGAGGGTGGTGAAAGTTTAGGCTCTCCAGAAGCGAAGGGAGGAGAGAGTCCCGTCGTTGCAGTATCAAAAGAAAGTGGTCCTCTCCCCTTGTTAGAAGAGCAGAAGGATAAACTTCCAGATGTTGTAGGTACAGAATTAAGCAGAGAACCATCATTTCTACAAGGCCAGGAAAAGAGGAGCCTGGATTGCAAGATCGTGGAAACCAGAGCCGCCTTGGCCTTTCCTGAAGAGCCAGAAGGAGATGCTACAGATGCTATTTTGTTGAAACCTAATCACGACCTGTACCTCTTGGAAGAGAAGGAAAGCGATGGCGCTCTCGGCAGTGAACAGGGATGTCACGAGTCCCCTTCTTCACTGGAAGAGGGTGCTGCAGATGCTGCTGTATCCCAGCCCTGCTCAGGAACGTCAGCCCCAGAACCCCAGGATAAAGTCTGCCCTGGTGTCTCTGAGCCGGAATGTATCCAAACTGAATCCTGCAAGGATGTTGGGGATCAAACTAGCCCTTGTGTCTCTGTGCTCGGGAGGGCATCTTCGCCTCCGGTATCTGGAAGTTGCCAAGATCCCTCTGTGTTGAATTCACAGTTTGTATCCAGTTTAGGTAGCCTTGGATCGGATCATGGCAAAGCTGACTGCGTGCCCGGAAGCCAGGAAAGAGAGGTGGTTGATCTCGGAGGGAGCTGGAGGTCTGGACCAGAACTGTCTTCCGGGGATGGAAGCATGGGGAGCTCTGCAGTGGAGGAGAAGGACAGCGCGTTTGAGGACGACTGCGGGGCTGAGCTCTTACAAGAAGTAATGGCTTAAAGGACATCTTGGTGGCTTTGGCCACCATAGTTTTGTGTACACTGTGGCACTACGTGGCCAAGACCTTAGGGCAGCGTTCCCCAGCCTGGGGCCCTCCAGGTTTTCAAAACTTGCACCATAGTCCTCCTAGACCACCAAGCATGCTGGTGGAATTGATTTCATTTAACGTACAGTAGGACCCCCTTATCTGCGGGATCAGTAGCCACCGATTAACTTATCCACAGTTTGAAAAATTTAAAAATATTAAAAGAAAAATCCTAGAAATACATTCTTCTGTGTATAAGACACGCCCCCCACTTTTCTAACCCCAAATTAAGAGATCTAAGTGGGGCTTAGCAAGTGTAGGGGGGAAGGGATCAAAGCACTGCAGGATCGCTTTGATCCCTACTTTCCCCTCAGCTTGTTTTTGTTCTCTCCTCAGCTTACTTCCGTGTATAAGACGACTCTCAATTTTTACTCTAAAGATTTTAGACAAAAGTATAGTTTTATACATGGAAAAATACGATGTATATTTCTAAAGATGGAGTTCCCAGAACTGGCCCCTGGAGGAAGCCAGAGACCATGCTATATCTTGTATTGGCTATAATACGTGTTTTTCTACATCTGCGGAGAGGGGGTGCTTGGAATGTGTCCCTGACGGATACAGGGGCCTTACTGCATGTATTTTTAACCTGCTCCATGTCAGCGGATCTGAAAGCAGAGTTTAATTAGTAAAAATAACCTTCAAACCATCTAAAACATTTCACATGCTTTAACATTGAGCAACCCAAATGAAAGCAAAACTTGCAAAGTGATTAATTGAAACTAAGCTGGTTTCTCACGTTCAGGTGGACAGTCTGATTTCAGCTTGTGCCGAAATAAGAGCAGTCTCAGGGCTAGTTGGGCCTTCAGGGGGAAGGCATCCCCTAACCAAGCTCCTGCAGCCAAGAAAGCTTTCTCCTCTATCTAAGGGTCCATCAACATCTGGAGGGTTCCAGAGTGAGAAGATCTGTTTCCTTGACTCCTAGGACTGTGCACCTAATCCTTCCCGGCTCACTGGCAATTTTCTCTCCTTTTCTGGTACAAACAAGCCTTCTGAAATCTTGTGCCTTCCAGATGTGTTTGCCTGGAACATCCTTTGTCCCTCCGATCATCACTGGCTGGGAACTATGGGAACCGTAGTCTGGCACATCTGGAAGGCGACAGATTGAAGAAGGATGGCTTGAGGTCAGCCATTATTTGCCAGATAATGGAAGAGAAGAGGGGCTTATGGCCCTTAAGAGGGACAGATAAAAGGGCCCGTGAACTTAAGCTGCTTTAGGGAGAGGAGGAAGCCACGGGCCTCCAGTTGTTGATGGACTCCAGTGCCTATCATCCCTGATCATTGGCTGCTTTTAAAATTTGCTCTTAATTGTCTTGTGAATTTTTCTGTTTATGTTGTGTGTGTATGTGTGTAGTGTTTTTAAGTATGGCCGGTAGCCATATTAAATTCCGGGTATGGTTTACATACCTGGCCAGTAAATAAATAATAATAATAATAATTCAGCGACCCAGTTTCCAAGTGACAGGTTCACTCGTTGGATGACATATCTGGCCCTTGAAGTCGCAGAAGCGAAACCCTACATGAGAAAATAGAAAACGAGGGGCCCTTTGCAGTGTGTTTGTTTGGCAGCATTATCTGGGGCAGATGCGATCTGGAGGCACTGCTCCTTCTTCAGACCTGTTTCCGCTGAAGCCTTGTGCAGACGAACCAGTTTCCAAGTGACAGGTTCACTCGTTGGATGACATATCTGGCCCTTGAAGTCGCAGAAGCGAAACCCTACATGAGAAAATAGAAAACGAGGGGCCCTTTGCAGTGTGTTTGTTTGGCAGCATTATCTGGGGCAGATGCGATCTGGAGGCACTGCTCCTTCTTCAGACCTGTTTCCGCTGAAGCCTTGTGCAGACATTTCGTACTCTCGCAAATCCTTTCTTGTGTCTCTTTTCCAGATCACAAACTATTTGACCATAAAGGACATCAACATAGAGAAAATCCAATTTGATTACTCTAGTTATGGGGAAGCCCAGATCAACGAGGGAGATTTTGGACACGTGCTTGAGATCTACGATTTTTCACCCTCGCTGAAAACGGAGCACCTGATGGAGGCCTTCGCAGAATTTCAGTAAGTAGCCAAGCTTTTCCATTCAGGAATGATAACTTGGTGGACAAAGCAGAACACGGTCATCCACAACAGTAAAAATATAGAGGCAGCTGAGAGCCTCACCCCTTTGAAGATTTGGGCTCAAAGATTTGATGCCCAAAGTGGCAGATTCTACTTCTGAATCCAGAGTGTGGAAAAGCATTTTCCCTCAATGATGTCTAAAAAAATGGCAGTGAGGTGCAAGATTGAAAGATGTTGGAAGAGAGAGAGAGATTTTAATTTTTACTGTCTCTCTCTCTCTCTCTCTCTCTCTCTCACACACACACACACACATACACACACAGATGTTAGTTTTGATTGTTTATTTGTGAGTTTAATATATTTTTAGCTTGTAATCCACCCAGAATAGTGCTTCCACGCTAATAGGGTGGTATATAAACAAACAAACAAATACATTTCTGTATAGATATTGGTACTAGACTTTATGATTTCTCACAACCCCCCCATAGGTATTTAATTTTAATTTAAGGAAAGGTGGGGGGTGGCTTACTAAGTTTTCTATTTATTTTTAATATTGAATTACAATTAGAATTCTTTGTTGAATGGGGTTTAATAAAGGAGAAGTGAAGGGGGTGAAAAATTCTCAAGATTTTTTTTAAAAGGATCAAGATCCCTCTAAATTAAGGAACAATCTGTATCCTAATGAGGTTAGATTTGTGTGAGCTGCATATGGAGCCCTTTTTGAAACCCTTCTGCTGGGTTTGTGTATTCTTATTTCATTTATTCCTAATGTAGCAATACTAACAGCGAACCTTTGGCTTCTGAAAGACCAATGAATTCTAGTGGTGCCACTTTTTGTGGACAGCATTCCACTTCCTTTGACGCATCTGTTCAGGCTTAGGAGATCAAAGTGAAGGAAGGGGAGATGTGTTTGAGGCAGGTGTAAAATAATACAAGGTTTAGAGAAGGTGGTCAAGGAGAAGTTTTTCTTACTTTCTTACTTAGAAGGCTCATTCAGGGCATCCAAAAGAAAGTACAGTGGTGCCTCGCATAGCGAGGTTAATCCGTTCCGGATTAACCCTCACTATGTGAAAACATCGCTGAACGGAACATAAAAACCCATTGGAACGCATTAAACATCGTTTAATGTGTTTTAATGGGCCCTAAACTTACCGTTCAGCGAAGTTTCCTCCATAGTGGCAGCCATGGGAGAAGTTTTTTTTTACTTTCATACTTAGAAGGCTTATTCAGGGCATCCAAAAGAAAGTATTTCTTCACCTGGAGCATAATTAAACTGTGGAACTCACTGCCACAGGATACCTCAATGGCCACCAGCTTGGGATTGTTTTGAAAGAGGTTGTACACATTCATGGAGGATAAGAGTGGCTACCCTCGGTAAGCGGGGAGAGGGCGCGAAAACGCTGCACGTGGCCATTTCGGGCGTCTGGTGGCCATTTTAGAACCGCCGAACAGCTGATCCGCGGGCATCACAAAGCGAAGATCGGTAAGTGAAACGCTTACCGATCGTCGCTATGCGAGTTTTGCCCATTGTAACGATCGGTATGCCTCTGCATTAGCGATCCTGAAAAGGGGATCGCTATGCGGATTTGTCGTTGTACGGTGCGCTCGTTAAGCGAGGCACCACTGTATTTCTTCATCTGGAGCATAAACTGTGGAACTCACTGCCACAGGATACCTCAATGGCCACCAGCTTGGGATTGTTTTGAAAGAGGTTGTACACATTCATGGAGGATAAGAGTGGCTACCGGTTGTAGTGGATGTCCCTTCTCTCCAGTACTTGAGTCAGTATTTCTCATTCTGTCAGTTGCGGAAGGTTTGTTTGCCCTCACATCCTGCTTGTGAGCTTTCCTTAGGCTGCTGAGTGGCTGAACGGCCGTTGTGTGTAAAACCCCTTAGGCTGAATGATTGTGGTTCTTTATGTGCTCGGTGCATTAAATAGTAATAAACACCACCGTCTGTGTTTTTTTTTCTTCCAGAGAGAGTGGGTTTAAGCTGCAGTGGGTTGATGACACTCATGCGCTTGGGATATTCTCCAGTTTGGCAGCAGGTAATGCTGGCTTTCTGCAAAGACGAACTTTAGTTAAATGGTAAAGTCTGTCCTCGCTTTTTATCCCAATGTGTCTGATGTTTTCCCGCCACTTTTCACTCCAAACAAGAATGTAGTTCTTTTTAAAGATGTAAGCAACCTTGGGTCCTTTTAAGGAGAAAGGTTGGGGTAAAAATATTCTTAATAAATAATAATTGTTTTTTTAAAAAATGGAATTTTTGACAATTTAAATAAAAAAAATCAACTTTTTTAAAAATGGAATTTTTGACAATTCAAATCCCCCCCAAAAAAATCAATTTTAAACATTCGAATTGTGATTTTAATCAATTTGATTAAAAAAAATCAGTGATTTTTATTCATCCTGGTGTAAGGACACAATGCCACCTGCTGCAACTCTGATGGCACTTGTGAATTTTGTCTTTTTCCTTGACAGACAGAAGGAACTGGAAAGAGACAGAAACCTAATGTGCATGGGGGTGGAGTCTTTGGCTATCGTCTTTCTGTCCATTGTTTTCCACTCTAATTGGCAACTCATTTTCCTAGCTAGCGGAAAATAGCTGTAAAGGAGAGTGATAAAAGACACGCCAAATGGATAGCAATAGCTAGTCATTGAGGGCTCCATCATGACTCAGTCCAAAGGAACAGACCATGGTTTGGTGTTACGCAGTTTAGTCTCGGGGCCATACGCACCAGCTGTTTCCTTTTTTCTGTTCTCAATACACATAATTGGCAGACCCTGGTTTGTGCTAAACAGGAAGTTAAGGATGGGAGTCAGAAAAGGGAAGGGGGGGACTGTGACAGTCCTGCTTTACTAACCGGAAATCCACGGTTGGCATTGGCCCATTAAGACAACACGGCGTGAATTTCCTCCCCTCCAGTTTTCCCTGCCCTGTTGCTCAGGTGCCTTCTTTCCTCTTATATGGTAAGCAAATGTAGACAGGTTCTGTTGTGGAAGAATCAGCATTCAGAGTCTATACCTGTATATAGTCTGCCTCGGCCCAGGTGTGAGCAATACCATGGACCCTATGAGATAGTGGTACCTTGTGAAGATCTTGCCCCACGTGTAGACCTCCTGGAAAACAGAGCCTTTACCTGGACAACACAGCCGCAGTGGTTTGATGGACGGTCATAGCTCTGTCGTGCAGAATCCTCGGATTTCTCGTTTGGCAAGGAACTTACAACTTCTCTGTGAAGCCCCTTGAATCGCAACAGAGAATTATACGTACCTCACCAGGACACAGAGATTCCAGGATGTTGTTAGGAGGCAGGCAGAGCAGTAAAAAGTGGGTCTTGGAAAGGCACTTGGGGGATCGCCGTGTTTTGCGGCCTGCCTTAAAAACAGCATCTTCACTTTTCTAGCATCTCAAGCATTGGAACGAAGTCACGCCTCTTTGAAGATCCGACCTCTTATCCATGCGACGAGGCAGTCAAAAACCAAGGCTCTTCAACGGCCAAGTAAGAAAACGCGTTGTAATCCCAAACTTTGCTGATTTCTTGTTGTGGAAGGCTCTAAGGGCTTTGGATCTTGGGTGGATTTGGCCTCTTACTAGTGACTTCTCACCCTGACTTCTGTTTTACCCTCTTGCCTGCTACCCTTGGATCAGGACTATGCAACCCAATGATGCCCTCTCCCTGGTTTCAAAAAAATAATAAATCTGTGCCCATTTTCTGTTCAAACCTCTGGATGTGTGATCTTCTCTCCAAACTATGAGGAAGTCGTGGGGAAGAGTAGACTTACCTGCTTTTGACTGGGGAGCCCTTTCATTGCTGCCTTCTGCCATGTGGCCCCTGGCAGGGCAAAGGTTTCCCTGCTTAGTTTATTCTTATTTGTTACCATGTTTATCATTTGTGCTGGCTGGATAGCTATGGAGCCAGTGGTTTAGGTTTCTGGCTATGAGCCAGCCTGGGTAGCTTTGGGCAAGCTGCGCCATCCCAGGGATGCCCCCAGAAGAAGGGAAGGGTCAACAATTTCTGAGTACTCTTTACCTGGAAAACCCTGTAAAAAGGTTAGTAATTAGACAGAATTGACTTGATGGCACCAACAGATGGGAAACCCTGACATCTGAGTGTTCAGCCTGGAGGCAGGTGTTGCATCACGGCCTCTCCCAATTTGAAGAGACCCTTGTCCAGCAGGCCGAGGCAAAGAGGCAGTCCCAGAAGCAGCAAAATCAGGGAGCTGGACAGGGGACAGATTGTATTTGTCCTCATTGTGGAAGGGATGGTCACTCTCGAATTGGCCTTCTCAGCCACACTAAATGGTGTCCTCCATACAGAGCATGTTACCATAGTCTCTCGAGACTGGATGCCTAACTCTAACACAATTTTTGCTATTATATTATTTGTATCTGACGTTGCCTTGCATGAACACAAGGCAATGTATGTGGCTTTTCTCCTTCCCAAATTATTCTCATAACTGTGTGAGGTAGGTCAGACGGAGAGAGAAAGCAACAAGCTCATTCTTACTCAAGGTTTGAATCCTATAGTGGGACGTGAGCCAAGATTTCCCCAAGCCCCAGCCTTCTGGTCTAAGGCTACATCTCAGTGTAGCTCTCAAGTGTCCTGACCTGAATTTAGGGAGCTAGCCTGGGGCCAGAATCTTTGCCGGAGCTGAAAGGCCCGTTTGCCACATCCTTGAAGGATCTTTAGTCCAACCATGTTGGCTTCTCCCTTTGCTTCCCTTCATCTCTCTCTCTCTCGCCGGAGCTGAAAGGCCCATTTGCCACATCCTTGAAGCATCTTTAGTCCTCCCAGCCATGTTGGCTTCTCCCTTTGCTTCCCTTCACATCTCTCTCTCTCTCTTGCCTTTTATCTCCTCTCTTTCGAGTTTAGAGCTCCTTCAGTTGGCCAAAGAGAGGCCCCAGACGGACACGGCAGTAGCTCGAAGGCTGGTGACGCGAGCCCTGGGATTACAGCGCAAACCGTATCGGAATCGGGGCCACCGAGAGGTGAAACCAGAGAACACAAATCTGCCAGAATAATAACCATCTCTCTCTCTCTCTTGCCTTTTATCTCCTCTCTTTCGAGTTTAGAGCTCCTTCAGTTGGCCAAAGAGAGGCCCCAGACGGACACGGCAGTAGCTCGAAGGCTGGTGACGCGAGCCCTGGGATTACAGCGCAAACCGTATCGGAATCGGGGCCACCGAGAGGTGAAACCAGAGAACACAAATCTGCCAGAATAATAACGAAGATTGTCCAGAGCAGCTTGGGGGGTGATACCAGTTGGAGGTGTGGGATTAAACGGTCTGCCAGACACTATAACTGGAGCCATCTTCCTCTCTTCTTTCGAGATGGTCCTTTATATATTTTTTTTTATTTTTGGAAGGAGTCATGAGGAGGTGATGAGTGGTTTGGTGGTTTGGCATGTTGGTGGTTCCAGAGCTTCTTGGACTAAAACTCCCAAAAGCCTTCTCCGCTCGCCGGGCTGGCCAGGATTTCTGGGAGTTGTAGTCCAAGAACATCTGGGTGAACCATGGTTGGAAACCACTGCATTAGTTTTGGGTTGTTGTTTTTTTCTGGATTCAGCCACTTTCCACCCTGAGTATCACTTCTCCAGTTTGGAGACCATGAACCGGTTGATCCCAGGCCTAAAGCCAGCTGCTCGCGCAATAGAGTAGACCCATTGAACCGCTGGGTTTGCAGGTGACCGGATGTTGAATTAGTTTTCTGTTTCCAGCAGGGATGTTGTGAGCGGGAGGGAGGGAGGCGAACCCCCTCTTCCAGTTGTCACTTTTCACCCCGTTCCCATTCTGTGCTTGTGGCAAAATCCAAACCGGAGTCTCTTTCCTTGGGCCCTTTTTTGTGAGATGGGCGGGGGGCACCAAGAGGAGAAAGCAGCAGGTGGAGGAAGAATTAAGCACCCTTTGCCTCCTTGCCATTTCTCGACTGGAAATTGCACTGGAGGGAGGGAGGGAGGGAACCTCCAGCTTGTGTACAGAGCCCTGAATAGTTAGTTGTTTAAGACTCCCAGGTGGTCAGTGACTATGATGGTGGTGGTCCTAAGGTGGACTCTTCTAGGATCTGGCATTTGAAGAAGTGAAGCGCTTCTTTGCAAAACCTCCCCCAAAGGCACAGCTGCTTTGCAGTGTGTCAGAAGAACGGAGCCCACCTGTCCCCATCACAGGACAAAGTTTAGGTGACCAGCACACACCAGAAGGACACACACACACACACAGTGACACACCTGCAGGAGTCAGAATCTTGTTTACTTGAAATATGTAAGGAATTTTTTTTCCTTTTTTTTTGTTTTTAGAATTAAAGCTGTTAAACACACACTTGAAATATGTAAGGAAATTTTTTCCTTTTTTTGTTTTTAGAATTAAAGCTGTTAAACACACAAACACATACACCAAGTGTGGTCTTTTTCTGATTCGGTTTCCTTCTCCCTCCGTCTATCCTCCCACCCCCCACGACTCCCCCACCCCTGTTTGTTTGTTTGTTTTTTGCTCACGTGGGAGAGTTTGAACAGGAAGCTCTTTTTCCTTCCGCCTGATAGTGGGTGGAGGCATGGAATTGGCCTGTTCGCCATTTTTGTTATAAAAAAATAATAATAGTCCAAACAATAAAGGTATGCGGTGCAGCCCTGCCTGGCAACCTTTTCATCCCTCTCAGTTGTGTGTATATGTGTGTTGCTGTGGTTTTATGGGGTTATCAGAGTTTGGAACAGTTCCTTTTTTTTGATCTACAGTTCCCTGGAAATTCTCACCCCACAGTGACCGTACTGGGTGGGGGGGGCATTGTGGAGATGAGTTACAGTCCAAAAAAGTAACTTTTCCATACCTTGCAAAGGTGTGGAAATGAGGGGAGGTGGGGGTGAAGATGCATACCGTTCTGACTCTTGCACATTCTGAGGTTAAGTTCGTGCATTGACTTATTTGCTCAATTTCTGGTGAATCGTGGCTCAGACGTAAGGAACGGCATCACCTGCATTCTGAACCTACGGTGAGATGTTGAAGCTCTTCTTGTTATTCAGGAAAGTAAGCTTAATTGGTGCCTTGCCCACATCGTCTTGGTAGTATGGGACCCCTGAAGTCAAAGGGAAGGGTGAGGTCCCTGGTCAACCCAGTTGCTGGGAGGAGATGACCAAGACTGCTTATAAAAACATGGGATTCCCAAGATTTGCTAGCACTGTAGAACCAAACTAAAGTATTAAGTAGGTCCTTGATGCAAATTCAGAGACATCAACCAGAGGGTGTCTAGGGGGCCAGATGCAGCCCTGTGGAAGATGATGCTAGATGAAATGGATGAACAGTTTGACTTGGTCTACAGCAACATCTGAGAGCTTCCTCTCCTGCCCCGAGGCACCTTGTTGCCTTCCAGAGGTTGGCTGTCATTGTCCATGGTCCTTCGCCCTGAGCTTGGCTGGCTAGCGCTACGGGGAGCTGCAGGCCAGTCTATGGAAGGACATACGTTGCTCACTCCTCAAAAAGGCCAGATTACATCCAGTTATCAGAAATGCCACTCTATGTATTGGGACAGGGCACACCGAATATGATGCTGGCTTAAGAAATAGAGGCCTCATTCATCTGAACATTGTAAAGAAGGAGACCCCTTCACTGCTGGAACAGCATGGAGAAGAGCACCTGCCCTAATGCAGCTGAATTCTCGGGCTCAAACAATTCTAGAGCAAAAGTCACTCTTCTAGAATAAAGCAGAGGCTTGGAGAATCTCCCAGGGTCTAAGGATAGGACTTGCTGCAGCTCCTTAGATAGGAACGGGGCAGCCCTTTTCCAGACGCTCACAGGGATAATGGGAAACTTCAATCTCATCATCTCCAGCTTTCATTAACCGGCTGGGGATGCTCAAGAGTTGTAGTCTTAAATGCAACAGCACCCAGAAGACAAAAGTTGGGCAAGAGCAGGAAGCCAAGGCTGGCATTCAGACACAAGAGCTCAGAAGTCAGCAAATGTTCCTGCACGCTTTTGAGTTTGGGATGTGTGTGTGTAAGCAATGTCGTTTTGTGTTGTTGCCTGAATATCACAGATGCTATAATTTACTCACAGATGCTACTTCAAATCACTTTTGTGGGCCACTGTACAACCTCCGGACCTCTTATCCTATTCTGATCCTGCGCACAGAAATCCACCACCATGGCGTCAGCTGTGCAGGGTAGCTACAGAGCAAAAGTCCCCCTCATCCCACCTCCACGCATAGGTCCATAGTTCAGCGAGGTAAGTTGGCCAGTGGTTGGTTTGTGTCTGGTGGCGCCCGGGGGCTTCTACCGATGCACCAAATGTGGCCACCTTTGGCCCCAGAGCAAGGGATTCCCATTTGCTACATGCGGATCTCTCTGCTTATATTTAAGTGGCCAGCTCAAGCTGTCATGCGATTTGGCCGTTAGCCTCACAACAACACACCTACGAGGTAGGTTAAACTTGATGCAAAGGAGAACCAGCACTCTTAACGTGTGCCTGCAACGTGTTTAGACAGTAAGCATAATCCTTAATTTATTCATGCAGCAGTTTCTAACTGCAATGTACCTTTTGTAATCATCTTCCACACACCCCCCCAAAAAAACCATCTAGTCAATTCTTGCTTCTCTCGCAGACAAGAATAGAGGATGAGAAACAGGAGAAATTCACAGCTGTTGATAAAGAAGAGGTTTGACCCAGCTGAATTCTCTTCAGTCGTGAACAATGCACCTTGTGTAGGGTGTGTAGTTCAGATCTCCAGTTAGGGAGCATTGATTTCTCCCCTCCCCATTCCCCTCCCCCACTTCACATATCACAAAGTAGGCATGGAATTAAGTCCTAAAGAAGAAGCTTCAAATCACTTTTGTACTCTCTGCATGAGCTTTTGAGATCTTTCGAATTCCTCCACCCATCGGGCCAAAACAAATGCAGTTAGAACCCTGGTTAAGCCCCAGTTGCCAACCCTGCCAACTGAACAGAACCTCCATGGACACAGGCAGTATAACTGCGATTGCCAGGTGGATAGAACAAACAAGGGGATAAATCCTTTTCCTCTTTATGTCTTGATTTCTGAATGTGCAATAGTGCTCAGTTGAAATGATTTCAGAATGGGGACAACACACAACATGCTCTGATGTAGCAGATCTAAACATTCTCCCAGTCCATTTCTTCATGCAAAAGACACTGCCTGCTTTTGTTCACAGGATGCACACAAATCTCATCTGGTTTCTCTTTCCTGGACAAAAAAAAGGTGCTGGCTTCTGAGTTCAAGTAAGTGTGGATCTTTGTATGAAACATGACCTCAAACAAACAGAGGTGCATGCACTTAGCACCATTATGCGTTTAACCAATGAGCATTTTTTTTTCTTTTCCACCCTCAAAAAGACCTTACAGGATAGTTGGACATAACGGGTGGCTGAGCCAGTGGCCTTGATCATATAAGGCCAATAATGCAATTGCCCTTGCAGAGTTCCTGTGGTGCAGTTCTTAACTATTCGTTGTCGGGTGGAAGGCAGGAGAAAAAAAAAAAGGCACGGATCGGGGCAAAGGAAGATGGGCGAACAGCTCACGGCATTCAGGAAAAATTCACAGTCTAGTGGCTTTGAAATCTTAGATGTACGGAATGACTTGACAAAGATTTTTCCCCATTGCAATGTACCAAATCTGTCTAAACCAGCTGTCATGAAAGGCACTTCTGGGAAAGGGATTCTGGAATGTAATGGAACAGGGAATTAGGATGTTTTGCAAGATTTCCACTCATCACGAGAATGCTGCAGACTGTACCTCAATGGTGTGTACAGTCAGATTTTCAAATCTTAGCCCAAGACCAAATGTGAAAATGGAGAAAGTCGTTCCCTATGAAAGGAATTTTTATAGAAATGTGTCACGCCAGACATCCTTAGGTGGGTGATCCAGCTGGTGCTTCTGCGTCCCGATGAACTAAGGCAGTGTGGGAGTTTGCAGTGAACTCTTTGGGAATAAATTAGGACGTCCATTGAGGGAAGCAAAGCCTCCAAGGGTTTTGCAAAACCTTCCTTCTGCTGGAATGGGTACGAAATGAAAGTCAATCCTATTGCTGCTGCTAAGTAGACATGAAGCACACCCTTGAAAATAACTTACAAAGCTAATTTTAAGGTCCACAGTTGCTAGCTTGATTACTTCTAGTCTTCCGAGAAGTGGTTAGGGAAACGGTGGGAAAAGACCTTCCTTCAACAGAGGAGTCAAAGTTAAGGCAGCTGGTTGTTCAAAAGTCCGTCAACATGATTGAACTTCTCTTCTACGGCCTCACTGAAAGAGTCGGCTGCAAGAGGAGAAAATGAAACACATATCATCGGCAGTTTGTATTTAATCTCTTTGTCCATCTGGATAACACAGACCCTTATGAGGATACCAAGTAGCAAAGAGATACACATGTTTTGTTTAAAAAGTGAAGGATAAATGCATCAAACGAACGACACTTTCATCATTATTTTTTAATGGGCAGGAGTTCACTTGAAAAAGTTGCAAATGGAATCCAATTTTCTCTCCCCCTTTTTACATTCATTTCAGCCAAAGTCCTTGAACTACAGGTGAGTGACTGAGCATGGTGATGCACGGAACAGACCGTGCGCATGTGCCTTTTAAGAACTGCCTGTAAAACCAGAGACCCTTTCCTGTCTCTGTCTGAGATTTGCCACATCTGGTTCTATGAATGTATGTCAGAATGGCTGGAAATGTTCGTACCCATCTGTACTTTTTAGTATGTAGTAATGTCCAGAAGTTTCATACTTCCGGGTTGGAAACCAACCACCAGGCAGAGTTACAGGCTGTCTCTACCATAGTTAAATAATCAGTGGTGTGGGAGTGGCAGAAATGAACAAAGGACTTCTAGATGCAATTCTAACAAATGAGTAATTAACCAATTTAAGAACAAAAACAGCAGATTATTCTGCCCATGTACCTTTATAAACTATTCTTTTTAGCAGTGAGTGCTGTACAAAGCTTCTCTTTTGAGCTAGCTTTAAAGAGCAGCAGCAGCAGCAGCAAAACAACAAACAACAACAACAAAACCCCAAAAAACCATCAAAATAGCCCTCACCTATATGGCAGTTGTACATCCAGGAACGATGATGTTCGTATTTCCACGTGCAGATCATTTTGTTGTTTGTATAATCCGACTCGGCCACTTCAAGGGTTGGGTTGACAACGATCTGGGAAAGGAGAGAGAAGCACCTTAGAACTGACTGAGTCCAGGAAGAGGAGCGATTTAATATCTCCTGACCTGCCAGGGGGAAAGCGATGTACCAGTGAAGGATGGAGTCACATAAAAATGCCTGACCCAGAAGCTCAAATGCAGTCAAATTCTCACACTTGGCAATTTTTACAAGAAAACAGAGTGTTGAATTCACATCTCCTTTCCCACTGCTTGGTTCCAGCTTTTGCATTTTTTGCAGCTGTTTCAAGAATATTGTGTGCATTAATGTGTGCATTTTCAGGGTTGATTTTCCTGGAATAATTTGATACTTTTCCTATACAGGTGTTAGACTCGATTGCTCCTATCTTGGCTGCTCATATTCTTTCTTTTCTTGGAAAAAATAACTTACCAAATTATTTTTTAGAATTATTCTAAGATTAATAATTTTAAAGTGATGTAATACTTAAACATTTATTATTTTATGTAAAATGGTTTTAGCCTGTGTTTCTTCTTTAAAAAGACCCGAGATGGCTTACATCATTAAAAGGCAATATTAAAGCTATCAACACAGAGTATACAGATACTAAGAAGGATCAAACGGAAGCCATATGAAAAAACATAAGCAACACCAAAACATATCCAACGTAGTAAGGTACAACAATTCATTCAAAAACCTAACTCAGCAGCCAGTCACTCAAGGAAAGCTTGCCTGAAGAGAAAGGTCTTTGCCTGCTTGCGGAAGGACGGCAAAGATGGGGCCAGTTTGGCCTCCAGTGGGAGGGAGTTCCAGAGTCTCTGGGAGCAGCAACAGAGAAAGAATTCTCCCGTGTCCCCACCAAATGCAGCTATGGAGGTGGTTGGGGTTTAGAGAAGGGTCTTTGTCTGCTGGTGGAAGGAGAGCAGAGAGTGGATCACCCTGCTTTTGAAGCTCCTGCACCTTTCTCTCCATTTCTCTTTATAATTACAGTTTATGTAAGTATATTCTTGAGCAGCACATGGTTTTGTCGTCAAGTTAATGGTGACCTAATATGCTGCAATATTCCTAACAAGGTTTCCCAGAGGCAGGAAGCTGCTTGATGTGGTCTTTCTCTACACACAAGAGCATTTCCCCCTTTCCATTCAATAAATAAGGGAGGATTCCAACATGCACCTTGAACCATACAATGCAGAAAGAGCATTGCCCACTTCATTCTGCTGATCATATCAAGTGAATTCTACTCTTCTGAATCCAGAGGCGTGTGGGTCTCGTTCGTTTGTAGGGCAACAGCCTACCTGGAAATAGTAGGTCCCTGTCTTGAGATCCGTAACGTCAATCCACTGGCAGTCGATATCATGCCGATAGACATCATGGCACCCAACGGTGATGCCTTGTTCTCCAAAATTGGCACATTCATATTGCTTCTGGACTCCTAATGAATGGGAAAGGGACACAGAACGCAAGAGCATCAGTGCTGGTGTGATCCTCAGAGGTTCTTTAGAAGGTCCCTGCAGTAGGTCCATCTTTCAAGAGCCTGGTCGCAGTGTTCAAAAGCATGAATGTGTTGCAGCTGGGATCATTAGTCTAGAAATGTTACTTTTTGCACTATAACTCCCAGAAGCTCCCTGACCCTGGTAGCAGGGAGGTTTCGGGAGTTGTAGTGTGTTTTTTAAAAAAATGTTAGTTTTCCAAGTTCTGGATGAGATACTCCAATTGTTTAACTACAGCATCCTCCAGGCTGAGCTAACGTAGCTCTTCGTCTTTGATAAGCCTTGTCTAGGGTTGCATAATCAAGGGATACAGGGTTTGATCCGTCTTTAGCAGCAGTCATCTAACTGCAGGTATTGCTGGGGCTGGGGGAGACACAGTTGCCTTGGCCAGCATCCTGTTGGTTAATTATACACACGTAAGTGCAATGATGGAAATTGCAGAGGAAAATTACTGCAAGTTAACAAATCACTGCTTGTAGCCTGTGTCATTTACCAGTTGCATGAGCTGCATCACAACAAGGGCTAAAAGGATCAATCTACCAAGTAGCAGCCATTCTCTCCACATTACTGCACTTAACGCCAGCATAGCTAATCAATAGGATCCTGGCCAGTACAGTATGTATCAAATGCATCTGGCCAGTGGAATAGGACTCCAGCCTGCACAGAGATGCACTTCCACACTTATCACCATTTGCATTGGGAAGCTCACAGCCTCACACTGTTCTCCCTTTGTTGAACCCGGGTCTTTGTATGGAGAGGCAGGACCTTGCTGTAGTTGACAGCTTGTCAAAGCTGATCGCCCTGAAACAACAACGGGTGAAGTTTTCATTTGTTCCTCCGGAGGAAGCAAATCATAACGGGCAGTGAGTTCTTGGGTGTGCCCCTGAGCTAGAGACCAGAGTTCCGATCCTTGAAACAGGATGCCAGGCTTAAATTAGCCTCTTATCTCCTATCACTGATCAGAGATAACGGCAGAAGCAGCTTCAAGTCTGGATGGGGAGGCCTCGGAAGCTAAATCTGTCCCGAAGGCCAAAAATGCATATTCCCTGGTAGATGCTTTTCATATAGGTTCAGTTTCCCAGATTTAGCTTCTGGGCTTTCTAGGGACGGGAGAACAGGGCTTCAGAAACATTTTCCCCTGTGGAGAGTCTCCTATGGCTTTACTACATTGGGAGGAAGCTTCATTTTGTCTGTTGGAATGACTAAGGCATCCCATACACACAAGATAGGGTGTTTTTTTTTTTTTTTTGTTTCATTTTGTCTGTTGAAATGACTGAGGCATCCCATACACACAAGATAGGGTTGTTGTTTTTTTTTTTTGCAACAGACAGCATGGTTTGCCTGGAGATGATGGGTGCTATAGTCTGTCCCTGGAGGGTGGACTGTGGGTTGATATAAGAGAACTGACCATACATTAGGCTGGATGCATGGAACTCTACCCCATCAAAGCTTCTCTCTGGTAAGTCTCAGCCCATCTACAAGCTGACTTTTGTGGGAGAAACAGCTAAAGATTGACTGGGCTTTGTGAGGCATCAGAAATTGCTGAAGTGCTAGTAGATAAGATTTATCGAATAAACCGATCTGACTTTCACCTGGATTGGGTAGGAAAATGGACTCTTATTTTAAACAGGAACACACACTGCAAATGGAAGAGAATGATTTACCCTCTAAGCAGTCACTATCTTCTAAGCAAAAGCTGGCCTTGTGCCCTTCAGCCACTTTGGTCCCGTTGAGGTCCAGTAGATCGTAATGTGTGAACACCTCCATGCTGTGGTAATGCCTGTATAAGCCAGAGAGGAAGCAAGCATTACAGTTAAGGGTAACGCAAGATACAGCTTTGGCCTGAGGGCCAATCCCCTTGTTTCTGCAAGCCCCAGACTCTGCACCAGGAGGGCGACATCTCTATTCGAAACCCTGTTGCACAACTACAGCTTCCAGGACGATTGGCAAAGAAGCACATTCGTTAAAACACATGGAGGGCTTCGACAGAGTGCCTCCCAGGGAAAAAAAGACATCTGGGTCAGTTGTCTAGAGCGATGGTTCTTAACCTTTGTTACTCAGGTGCTACAGCTTCCAGGACGATTGGCAAAGAAGCACAATCGTTAAAATACATGGAGGGTTTCAACAGACTGCCTCCCAGGGGAAAAAAGCCATCTGGGTCTGTTGTCTAGAAAGTGCAAATGAAGAAGGAACTGGTAGCGTCCTTCTGAGTAATTTATACCTAGACAACCCTGGCAAGATCAGTGTAAATCAGAATCGGATAGGTAGCACATCATTAAAGGATTTCCTGCAATGAAGAAGGAACTGGTAGCATCCTTCTGAGTAATTTATACCTAGAAAACCCTAGCAAGATCAGTGTAAATCACAATCGGCTAGGTAGCACATCATTAAAGGATTTCCTGCCCCAGCAGGGGTGGGCCATATCTGGAAATATTTGGGACATTATTCTGCCTCCTAAACCTTCTGGAAGCCAAACTAGCCTCTCCCCATGAATCTGGAAGCAACCAAAAGGTGATTTCTGATTTGCAGGTAAACAAGGTCTAGTTTCACCTTCTCTCCTTGGGTTTCTGCCAGAGCAGGAAGGGGCGATTATGTGCTGGGGGGAAAATCAGTTCATTCTCCTCTGAAGAGGAAGATCCCAGCAATTCTTATTTTGGGACAATAGCAAACGCACGAGAAATGTTGCTGAATAAGGTGAAGCAACACGTGGTGCTCCTCCTCCAAGACAAATTCTGTAAGTACCCAATGCCAGTCATATTACTCCGGCACATAAAGTGGAAAACGCATCGCTCGCTTCTCATTTTTATTTGGCAATAAAAATACACCAGCAGCAAATCAAATAACCAGGACTTTTGCTCTCTGGAAACATCTAGAGCCTAGTACCATTAAATGTTTTTTTTAACTTTTGTTTTTGTTTGCAGAAATATCGAGAACGTGCTTGCAACCTACAGAAAAGGCAAGACAGAGTTGCATCCTGCAGGCCGCTGGAATTTCCTCCACCAGGAATATCAGTACAATAATATTTATTTATTTAAAATATTTCTATCCCACTTTTCTCCCCAAAAGGACCCAATACAATAAACGGAAGGACTCCTAGAAGCCTTCACCACTAGCTGCGCTGGCTGGGGTTTCTGAGAGTCACAATCCATGAATACTTGCGTTACCCAAGGATAGAAATAAGGCATACTTTTAAGGCAATAGATAGCATATGCAATATTACAAATAAGAGCAGATATCAGAAGTAACTAGTTACAGGTAAACTAGTTATCTATACCTCATTCATTTTGGGTGCAAAATTGTGTAATTAGCAACTACAAACTTATTTTTAGCTATAATAAGTACAGGGATACCCAAGTTATTTCACTGTAATGAATGCAAGCAGGTACTTTCAGAGGTTCTTCTAAGGGAACATTTAGAGGCTTTTATTTTATTTTATTTTACTTTTTGACAATAGTTACTTTCAGAGGTTCTTCTAAGGGAAGTTTTAGAGGCTTTTATTTTATTTTATTTTATTTTACTTTTTGACACTTTGCTGCATCGTAATGGAAGTATTCTTTGGAATTTCCAAGTTGCAATACCAGAACTGCCCACAAGAAGGAAACACAAGATAATGTATTAATGATGCAAAAGGCAATAAAATCATTGTGGGATCGGAGCACCCATAATGATAGCCGCAACCTGGCAGCCAAAACACTAAGGATTGCTGGAGATTTCATTTTAAATTCCGAATAAAAGCTATGAATAAGAGCAAGTAACTTGTTTGGGGAGCGGGGGGAGCGAACGGTAGTTTTTCCAAAAAGGATTGGTAAAGCAGAGTGAGAAAATTGACTGTAATTCCCAGCGGGTTATGTCATGCATTACTCAATTATTGTTGGTCACCAACCCACAGTTTTTAGGATTCAGTTCCTGGCCAGATCAGGATGTCCCCCAAAGCCAGGAATTCTCTCATCACGTCCCACTTTTGTAATGTTAGCGGAGAGGCAGGAAATTAACATCATCTGCATGCATTTAATCTGGGAAGTCATGTTGCTCGGTCTTTAGACAATAACAAAACCGAGCATATGTGGCAGAATACATTGCATAAAACCAGCCATTTGAGGTCATCTGGAGATTTTCAATCTTTTTTCCTCCCCCTTTCTGTTTCCACTGGGGGCAGCACAGAAACATCAGAGTTGGCAAATACAGTATTAGGGAGATCCTTCCTGCTCCCGGTGTGTTGTGTCCCCTTCTAGTCATCCCATCTTCTAGCCAGGGATCTCTAATCATTTGGCCAGCGAGTGGGCAACTTCGGATTTTGAGTGTTTCTGTGGACTTTCTGTTCCTCCTGTCCACCAACTGACATGATAAATTGGCAGAGGAATGCTTGTAAGCATACAGACATCCTTCCTGAAGAAGTTTGGCTTTTGGGTCATGGTAGGACTCAAGGGTATTTTGACAGAGTAATCGGACGGACAAGATGAAAGGCGGGGAGCCATTACCTGCCAGCCCCTGAGCCGTTTAGGGTTTTAAAGTTGAAACAAACATCTTGAATTTAGCCAGGAACCCAACAGGTGACCAAGGCAGATATATACAGGTATATTGTATACAGTGGCTTCAAATTATATTAGAAATGGAAAGGGGTCTTATTTCATGAAGATGATTCATCTGTCTAATCTAATATTGCTAACTTTGGCCAGCAGCGGCTCTCAGGCAGAGGATCTTTCCCCAGACCTGCTACTTAAGCCTTTTTAGCTTCAGTTGCCAGGGTCTGAAACTAGATCATTTTGCATTACAAAACAGCTGGTTTACCCACTGGATGATGGTCCCTCTCTGGAAAGCAGAACCGAGAAACCTTTGACTAGCTGCGGTTAGGCATCATAGGATCCAAACATAATGAGCTGATCACAGCTCTTTGATTATGCAAGATTCGGTCTCATCTAGAGTACAGTACTGTGTCCAGTTCTGGACACCACACTTTAAGAAGGATGTTGACAAGGGAGAGGAAGTTCAGAGGAGGACAACGAGGATGACCAGGGGATTGGAAACCAACCCTGTAAGGAAATACTGAAAGAGATGGGCATGTTTAGCCTTGAGGAAAGAAGACTGAAGCAAGATAGGATAGCACTTTTCAAAAGGCAGTCATATAGAGGAGGGGCAGAATCGGTTCTCATTCATTACAGAGTGCAAGATATGGAATAATGAGCTCAAGCTACAGGAAACCAGATTTAGGTTGACTGTCAGGAAGAATTTAACTGTTAGAATAGTACAACAATGGAACCAATGACTTTTGGAGGTGGTGAGTGCTCCAACACTGGAGGCATTCAAGAGTAAATTGAACAACCCTCTGTCAGATCTGCTTTGATTTGGATTCCTGTATTGAGCAGGGAGGGGGCGGAGTTGGACTCCATGGCCTTATAGGTTCCTCCCAACTCCATTATTATATGGAACTTAACTGTTAGAATAGTACAACAATGGAACCAATGACTTTTGGAGGTGGTGAGTGCTCCAACACTGGAGGCATTCAAGAGTAAATTGAACAACTCTCTGTCAGATCTGCTTTGATTTGGATTCCTGTATTGAGCAGGGAGGGGGCGGAGTTGGACTCCATGGCCTTATAGGTTCCTCCCAACTCCATTATTATATGATTCTGTGATTAGCCTCATAAGGGGCGGGGTTGGACTCCATGGCCTTATAGGTTCCTCTCAACTCTATTATTATATGATTCTGTGATTAGCCTCATGCTCTTGCCAGGTGAACCATCCAGCAAGGATTTTGTAGGAAGTATGCTGTGGACCATGCCAATGGGGGTGGTGAATCCACCCTGGGTTTTACTCCAAACTTTAACCCCAAAGTTCTGAGTCTATGGAGGTGGGAGTGGATCAACACTCTGGATAGTTCCTGAAACCATTCCCCATCTGGGGAAATTCACTGCTTGTATTATATCAGATTGAGATTTTCACCAACTGTGGAAAGGATGGAGAAAGGGAACTTTTGACCCCACAAAGAACTATAATTTTTAGGTTTGGAGGGGTGGGTGGGAGATAGCCTTTTGGTTCATGGTTTACTTGACTTTTAGTTCATATAGTGCCTGACATCAAAAGCTACAAGTATGTATGAGGCCTGGGCAGTGTTTCACATCAGCTAGGTGTGAATGTAGTGACTTGTTCATTTGGAAACCATGCTTAGACTCAGGCGGAGACCTCCCAGCTTAAGCCCAAGGAAAACCAAGCAACCGGCTGGCTTTTTTTCACCTGGAAAAATAAGCCATAGCTTCACGCAAAATATCTGATATGCAGTATCTGATACCAGTACCTAAGACGCCCATGCATTTATTTTACATAAATGTGTTGACATTTTGTGGATTTTTTTTTATTCCTTAAGGGCAACAAAATCTGAGAGTCACTTTAATTCAAAGTTTCTGCCAGGTGTTTTTTTTTTGTTTCTCTTTACCTGCTTGCTAAGTAGGATTCACTCTATCCCGCCCCCCCCCGTCCATCCCTGGTCCCACTGCCACATCTTGAACAGAAAAGTATAGAGAACAGAAATAGAGACAGTTAAGAAAAGGAAGAGGCCAGTGGGAGAAGGCGGCCTTTTGAGATGGTTGAAATATTTACTTTGAATTTGGATGCTCGAGCTATTTTTCTCTTTACCTGCTTGCTAAGTAGGATTCACTCTATCCCGCCCCCCCCCGTCCATCCCTGGTCCCACTGCCATATCTTGAACAGAAAAGTATAGAGAACAGAAATAGAGACAGTTAAGAAAAGGAAGAGGCCAGTGGGAGAAGGCGGCCTTTTGAGATGGTTGAAATATTTACTTTGAATTTGGATGCTCGAGCTATTTCCAACGCAGGGAAGAAGAAAAAAGAATTTTACACCTCAGGTCTGACTCGGTTCCTAAAATATGTCTGCTCACTCAGATAGGTGTTTATATTATAGTGTTTACAGACTGGAAATACTGAAGGGGAATTGAGATGGCCTTTCTCTGTACACAGAGAGGCCGGTCTAAACCCACCCACAAGCCACAGCCGCCTCGATTAACTTGAGCTGTTCGGAAATGCCAGAGGAGAGGCAGGCTGTGAAATGACTCATCTTTTCTTGGTCAGCCGTACAGGTCAAGTGGCGAGAGGGCTGCAGAAACCCCACGACAGAGCAAGATGGCCGTAGCCCCCACGACCTGCCGTCTTGGGCCGTTCACCAGGATTTAATCCAATGCACTGAGCTTGCAGCCTGCTCGAGGCTGCACCAATCCAGGGGACGTTGCTGTTTGTGAAGCACTGAGCAGGCGATGTTTGCCTTGATGCATCTGGAGCTGGCCCTGCCCTGAGGCATACTGGAGCATTCACCTCACATGGTCGGTGGCGGGAGGTTCCTAATGTCCTGGGGCACTGCCGTCTCTTCGAAGGCAGAGACATATATCCCGCACCACCTGTTTTGAACCTCCTAAATTAACCTGCTGCCCCATCGCCTGTGGACCCCTGCAAAGTGGGGGTTCAGCTGCCAGTTTACTGGCTTTCACCTATGAAACAGTCAGGTTGCCATCTCATCCTTTACTTCCGGGAGCAAAATGCCTTGAATCAGCCCTAGTATGGAAACAGCGCCTGCTTCTTTCTTATAAGCCCCTAGTTTTTAAGGGTGGCTGTGGCAGGAGGAAAATGGCATGCCTCAGGTCAGCCCATGGACCCATATAGCACAATCCTTATGTGACGTATAGTTAGTTGCTGTTTTTAGCTTTTAAACATTGTCTTCTATTGATATAAGCTCCCTTGGATCCTTTTTAAGGAGGAAGGTGGGGTAAAAATATTTTCTGCCTGCACACATGCACAACCCTCTGCCTGCATTCACTTGCTGGCTGATGCAGAATTTGAACCCAAGTGTTATGTCCACAACCAGCACCACTCCATGCGACCCTACATGGATTTGGATTTAGAGCTGGGGCAAACTGCTTTTAAATCCACTGCTCCCCAGATCCATGCTCGGTGGGATATTCTATGAATTGTAATCCCTCTTTCCCCCCCCCAAAAAAAAACAAAAACAAAAAAGAGAGCAAGATTTCCAAGCTCTAACTTCCACCTATGTTTTGAAAAAACAGAGGGATCGCTGTGTCAGTCTGTTGCCAAGAACAAAAATGAGTCTTGGGAAACTAAAAGGTTCACAGGTTTTGTGTTTGTCATGTGCTTTTGTGGGTGGCTGCCACCTTCAGCAGACATCAATGCCAAGGTTTTCTTCAAGCCATGACAAGACTTATCTTAGAACTGGAAGGGACCTCTAGGGATCATCAAGTCCAGCCCCTGCCAAGGAGCCGCAAAGGGGGAATTGAACTCCCAACCTCTGGCTTCACAGACAGAGCTCCAAACCACTGAGCTCTCCACCAGTTCTTGCTGTTGATCTAATTGGAAAACAGGATTTTTTGTCTAGGGGAGCCTCTGTTGCCTTCATTTCAGTCTGTGACCACAGAGAGGACGGGGAGGGGGGGAAGGCTGACCTGTGACAGTCGTGCCAAATCCAGGCATGGCGCCCAGCTTTGGGTCGGAAATCGGCCTGTCCGTTGTTGTGGATCTGGGAGGAGAAGCGCAGGAGCCTCCTGGAGCCGTAGGTAATGGAGGTATTGACAGCTGTGGAGGCCAAGCAATTTTCCTCCAGCGCGCACTGCAGTATGTTCATCGGGCGGTCCTCCAGGTACGAGGTGAGCTCCACTTGCTTGGCATTGAGGACGAGGTCAGCTGCAGCTGGAGGACAAACAAAAAGCCCACATGTGTTGATCAGGACTTCACCACAAAAGGCAAGCACTTATGCTCAGATCTTAGGGCCAGGAATTTCTAAAGTCTGGAAAACTCCTAGCTGCTACCAATTCCCAACAGCATTTTAGAAAGTCCTGTTTGGACTACAGCTGCCAGAATCTCCAGCCAGCAGGACCAAAGCCCTTGCTAGCAGGGGATTCTGGGACTTGCAACTCTGATTATGGATCATAACGTTGGTAGGGCTAGAGGCCTGCCAAGGATAACGCCTGGAGAAGACAATAGCTGTCTGAAACTCATAATTTGTGTTACTGCTCAGGGGGCGGGAAAAACCAGGTCGTGCCTGCATTTTTTTACACATCAGAAATTCATTATGGATTCATTAAAATGGAATGGGCTAAGAATGGAGTGTTAAAGGGTGGCCAGTCTGGGAAGGCAGCCTCAGGCAAAGGCCAGTTCAGTTCACATTTATTTGTTTAGCCTCAAGTCCTATAAATCTTTGCCATTTCCAATTCTAAGGCAACAATAAAGAATTAACACAGACAAAACCATCAATGTATGTCCCATAAGAATTATTAATCCAAATATCCAATGTAAGGGCAGAATCCCCTTTTTGTTTGCAATGGTCCATTTTGCATGCAGCAAAATCTTTTTGTGTTTGCACAAGGCGATACATTTGCACAAGGGAGTATTCGCTACACAAGGTTTTTTTTTTTTTGCAACCTCGCATGCTGCCTTTGGTAGGCTTGGCTGGGAGGGACCTTTTTGGGCTGCTGTGTCTGTCAATCTGTCAGCACTGACCAGTAGTTCTTTCTCTGCTTCTGATTCAGAGAAAGCCCTGCCTTTCTGCTCTGCTTTCCCCCTCTCTTTAGTAGTTTGTTGAGGCCTGTTGCTCAAAACAGTCTCTCTCTCTCTTTTAGTTTGCTTTTACCTGTTCACTGTAAGACATGAAACTTCTGATTTCTTCTCCCAATAATGTCTCAGAAATTAGTTACTGAGACGGTAAGTGCCAGTTGAGGAGGAAAAAAAGGGGTGGAGTACTCTTGAGAACGTAAAGTTTATTCTGTTCTGTTAATCTCTGCATTTCTGCCACACAGCTGAGGAAATTTAACTGAATTAAAAAGTCCGCAACAGTATTCACTACCCCTTGTACACACAGATGATCTACTGCTTTCAATGAGGTGATGCCCAGCTTAATTGTTCATTGTGAACACACACACACACAAGAGACAGTTAGGCAAGCAAGAGTTGACACATGCCTAGACCCAGGGAACCCCCATCTGTGGGGTAGGAGGCAGGCAGGAGAAGGCAGGGTGAGAGTAACCAGAGACAATGGGGCAGCATCCGCACTACCCTTATGCAGAAGCCATCATGATCGGAAAGTGGTGGAAAGGTTACTCTTTCTAAAAGCAGTACTATTCTCAGAACTGAACCTGGCCGTTGTGGAATTCCGGAGGGTGTTTTCATGAGAAGGAAAGCTTTTTTTGGATAAGTTGCCTCGGGCAACTTATAAACCAGCCAACAATCAATAAACTCAGGGCTCTGCCAATGACTTACTCTCTGTACAGGACACTCCGGCCGCGTAACGTCCTCCTCCTCGGGGGCAGCGCACCTGAGTATCATGACGACAATGAGACAGGGACATTTCTGTCCCTGAGCATTTCACCCCGCTCATGATGACGTTGTCAGCGCTGACCTCTCCATACCAATACCAGGTTTCCTGTCCGGAGGAAGTGAAAAAGGAAGAGAGATTTCAGTACAGATAACTTTGCTTTAATTAAACATCATTTCAGAAGGTTGTGTTTCCTTTTCCCTGCACTGCAAGGCAGACACTAGGAACCTGTGTTGTCAAGTTGGAACTCACCTATAATGACTCTTGGAAGGGCTTTGAAGGTACATGAGATATTTAAGGAGTGGTTTTAGCACTCATAGCACAGACACACAAATCTCCATGGCCAAGTGGGACTTCGAACCAAGGTCTCTGAAATCCTAGCCTGTTATTCTTTCTCTACTGCACCATACAAGGGTAATAATTTATTTATTTCATTCATTTCTTTACCTCTAACTTAGTGCAAAGCCCTGCTCCAAACAGTTTACAGTAAGGCAACATAACAAACTCTCCGCTCCATATACCAATGTTAAACTCCTCTAAATAGTGAAGACAATCAATACGAATGGAGGGCGCTATTTTTTATACTGGGTCAAGTCATTCGTCCATCTACTCCAGTTTAGTCAACTCTGACTGGCAGCCACTGTCGAGGGTTTTGTGCTGGATTCTTTCTTAGCCCTGCTTGGACATCTGAGTTGGGAAGGCTCTGCTATTATGTGGCCCTGGATCTCCTTAGTGTCCAAAATCATAAGAGATCCGTGTGCTCAGGATTATATGGAACTATTATGGCAGGAGCACAGTCACAGTCAGAGAAGACCCAGGTCTCTGGGAGCTGAATTTGATTTATGAATTCAAAAGGTCAAGTACTACAAATCTGTACTATGGTGGGAATACAGAAAGTCGGGGCCAACCTAAGACACCTTGCTGCCCGAGGCAGTGCAAGGTACTCCCTCCCCCTTTCAAACACAGACGCTAACTAAACTTAAGATTCTAGCCCTAATGAAGGAGAAGGGGAAAGCTGCTGTCAGTCCTGCAGTCTTCTAGCAGCTCCCTAAGCTCCCTGTCTCTTAGCTACTAGCCACCATTAGATCTAATGGGGAGCCACTGGATACTGAACCCCCTTGTCTTCTTTGGTTGAGCTGGCATCAATACAAGATGAATTAACTGAATTATGAAGATATTAAACGTGTCATCTTAGGGGGAAAAACTGCTGAGTAACCAAGGCCCTGGCCCTTGTCCTGGAAAATACGCACTAGCTCAGTAAATAGCAAGCCAAGCCACTCATCACGTTTTCCTCCCATAAACTCACCAGGAGCAAAGCACAGTAAATGGATCGCATGAATGCCCTTTTCATCACGAGTCCACCCTGCCCTAAAATACAGGACTGACCACTATTGTACATGCAAATGACAACACGAAAGCTGCTGTATAAAATAAAATAAACGTCTCCAGGAAGAATCTGTGCCCAGTTAATAGGGAGAAGAATATTTGTTGTTGATTTCTTTAACTGTTATTTTCAGCTGCTGCTGCAATGTGCCGTCAAGTCAGAATAGACTTATAGCAGCCCTTAATGGGGCTTTTAAGGTTAGGGTCATATTTAAGGAGTGGTTTTATCACTGAGCCTCCATGGCTGCGTTGGGATTTGAACCCAGGCCTATGGAGTCCTCATCTGTCTATAGTGGAGTTTGAAATTCATCTCATTTGGCCCTTGGTGCTTCCTGGCCTTTAAGTCTGCTCCCTTCTATTCAGTTCTGTCAAGTCACAGATCCCCTCCTCTCCCCTGTACAGAGTTTTATCAAACTCTTCTCTTTCAGAAAATGCACTGACAGTCAACCTTCTGTGACGGTACGAAGCAGACGGAGTCCTCATCTGTCTATAGTGGAGTTTGAAATTCATCTCATTTGGCCCTTGGTGCTTCCTGGCCTTTAAGTCTGCTCCCTTCTATTCAGTTCTGTCAAGTCACAGATCCCCTCCTCTCCCCTGTACAGAGTTTTATCAAACTCTTCTCTTTCAGAAAATGCACTGACAGTCAACCTTCTGTGACGGTACGAAGCAGCACTATGATGCATCTGGACCCTCGTGTGAAGCATTTTCATGAGAGCTGATCTCCACAATTTCAGGGGGAGGCTGCTCCTTCCCAGCTCAGATACTTTAAGTGGGAGATGTTGGTCATTGAACCCACAACCTTCTTGCAGACCAAGCTGGGTGGTCTTCCTTTGGAAATGAAACCCTAACGGCTGGATTGTACCAGGGATCATAAACATGTGTTGCACTCTGCCTGCAATTCAACAGGAGGTGAACCTAGGCCATTTTTCATGCAAGGCACATAATTCAGGACCAAGCCGCGGCCTCCTCTCATGATCCCAAGACCTCCTGTCCAGGGTGCCACTAACTCTTCTCTCTCTACCACTCGGAGGACCTGGCTAAGGAGTAATCCCTTGCACATCCTTGAAAATGGCTTGGAAACTGTAACTGGTGCAGAACATGGCAGCTGGAACCAGGGTGTGGCCTTGAAGCTCAGATTATATTGCACCTTTTCTATATTGTTTGCATCAGCTGATGCAGTGGTTGCTGCTTGTTTGTGCTTTCAAAAACCGCAATGATTTGGCACTTAGCTGCCTAGAGTGGTCCTGAGTTGACTAGATAGGCAGGATATAAAATAAAAATAAATAAATAAAATGTTATCTGCAACCTGTGTGAGATGAGCATCAGGGAATCCTGTTCTCTAGCATACCAGCCAGAGACATCGGTCTTGGCAGACCTTAAGGAGAGGGCCTTTTCAGTGATGGCCCTGTATCTCTAGAACTTGCCTGACAAGGACCTATATTTCCCATATTTATTTTAGTCTACATTTGACCCTTAAAAATCAGCTGTAAAAGTCATTTAAAATCATCAGAAAAGGCAGCAAGCACCGTTCTTGGTAGTAAAAATACGAAGCTAACACTGTAAACATTGCTCATTGTTCGCTGCCTTTTCATGACAACCAAAATCTGCTGCTTCCAAAAACCCAAATTGTAAGCGCGACCCTTATTTCTCTGCATTTCAATTCTCCATGTGAAATCAAGCCCCCTCGCTTGAACTCTGCCTGTGCAACCTCTCCCTCCAAATTTTGGTGAGTATTAGAAACATTCTCAATTGTTTCTCAACCCTGAAAATGGAGGAGAAAAATACAAGGAGCAAGTCTCCAAGATCAGGCCAGCTTCTTGGCTTTCCCTCCTTCCCATCTGCAGACTTGACAGGGTAATTTATGCTTCTGGGCTAGTTTAAGTGTGTCCCACTCCACCCAGCCCAGCTCATTTATTAATGAATCCGCTTGATCTGTTTTGAGTCAGAACTGCCACAATAGCCTCCCTGCCCTTTAAAGCAAGCATCCCCAACGTTGGGCCTCCAGATGTTCTTGAAGTTCAACTCCCAGAAACCCTGGCCAGCAGAGGTGGTGGTGAAGGCTTCTGGGAAATGTAGTCCAAGAACATCTGGAGGCCCAAGGTTGGGGACCCCAGCTAAAGAACAGGGGCCTCCCTTGCAACCTCTGTGTGTCTGGACAAAGATCGGAAAGCCCACCCTGCATGTCCAGAACGCACTTTCAGGACCGACATTGTGGAAGGAGAATTAAGACTTCCGTTTTGCAAAGCCAAAAGGCTCAAATGAATCTCTCTCTGTCAGACCCAATCAGAAGTTGTGGGGCGATCCTAAAAAGGAGAAGAGGTCACAGAAAAGGCAGGGCAGTAACTACCCTTTTAGCATCCAAGACTTCATTGCCGTCCCGGTGAAGCTTGAGTCATGCAAGATAGGAATATGTGAGGAATGGACGGAAGAATGCAGAGCGATGCCTGGGCCTGAGAACATCACAGCGTCATGGCCGTACCCATTCCATGCTGAGCCTGCCTGTTTCGTGTTTCCGTAGGGTTAGGGCGTGCGGCTGGAGGTGATGGATGCATGCACAAGCCAGACAGTCCTGCACGGTTCCAGCAGAAAGTATGAATGAAGAGCTTTGCACTGTTCCAGCAGCAAATGTTTGCACCCGTCAGCCCTGGGTGCCCAGAGGGCACATCCTGGCTGCCCCACCCAAGTTCTAGGCCTGCCAAAAGGGTTGTTCCAGAGTTGAATACTTAGTGCCGCCCAGGCAGGCATTCAAAAATCTCTACACTGGAATGTTGGGTGAAGACAGACATGGCAGGTTGCTAGATGCATAGATTCAGTACAAACATGCCTTTCCCCCGTTCTTAGCGTGTGTTCTAGTTGCGGGGGGGGGGCGGAGAAAAGCGGCTCTGGACGTTCTGTGTGTTGTTCAGTTTTGGAACCAGAAAGAAGCCGGAAAGTGCCTGTTGGCTCACACGGCTGAGATCGCAGAGATATTTTTTCCTCCAGTTATTTTTAAATGTCCCTGAAAACCTTTCTAGCTGATCTTCCACTTTGATTTGGTCCTATCACTTACCTCTACTACTTTCTCACCTTAATCGCTTTTTAAAAAATCAACCCCACTTGGTTGGAAATATTTCTGAACCGAGATAAGCTCCCGGGTTGCTTACAATTGCAGTTAACTTCTGGGATTGTAATATCTCGGGAACTTTACCACACTATAATAATAAAAATAATAATAATGTGCCGTCAAGCCAGTTCTGACCTTTTCAGAGGTCACCACTCCCTTCTTCTGGGGGCCACTTGCCTATGGATGCACAGTTTGGGTTCTTTCTGGGGGGCACAGTGGGGGAATTGAACTCCCAACCTCTAGCTCCACAGCCAGATACCAAAACCACTGAGCTATCCAGTCATAGGCACATATCAAAAATATATGTGCTTTTGAATTATGGAAGAGTGGTGTATTTTTATATTCGTGCGTGAGAGAAAGGACATTCAAGAAAAACTTAATCACCTGGCAGATATCCTTTGACAGTATCCATGCATTGAGCAGGGGGTTGGACTTGATGGCCTTGTAGACCCCTTTCAACTTCAATTTTCTCTGACTCTGTGACTGATAGCTGAACCAGCATTCATCTTGTTAGCATACCTACAGTGCTGAGTCACTGGAAAGCTAAAGGACTCATTGTGGTTACTGTCAATCAGAATAAAGGTGTTTTCCAAAGTAGTGGCAAAAACCCCTTTGTGTAACT